CATCCAGGCACCAGCGGACTGGCTTTCCTTGAAATTCACATTTGACCTCGCAACCAAGGCAACGCGTGGCAATGTGTCCGAGTGGTTAACGCGTCAAGCTCACATGCTGCACTGTCGCGGTTCGACTCCCACTGAGGGTGTTGATAAAACCGATGCGAGGTCGAAACTGCAGTCAACTGGTGCCTGGATGAGAACAACTTTTAGGAAAGCAAGGCTATGTGAAATTGACTGGAAACGTCAGCTCAACTCATAGCATTGTGGGAAAATTCTTCTTCTACCAGTCCTTCATCAGCTTAAACGAAATTGTGTGAATGCATCTCATATTAATGTTATACCGCCGAACTTTAGTCTTCGATAGCATGAGTCACATGAAGCGGTGGGCTGGTTAGATCCTTGCAGGCTTTCACTTGCACCTTTTACTAACACCAAACGACAGTACAGCAGGTACAAATCTCGTCCTGACACGCTTGCACACAAAATGAGGATCAACTTGACAATTTCTTCGTAAATGAGTAAATCTGATATATGAGTTGTGTTCACCCTATCTTGCTTACGGCTATGAAGGACTGTTAGTTCAATTTTTCCACAATCACATGATGTTTTACATTGAATTTCACATAACCTTGCTTTCCCAAAAGGTGTTCTCATCCAAGCGTGTAATATCGACACATTGCCACAAGTGTCTTAGGGCCACAGGGCAGATGTGACTTTCAAGGAATATCAAGGAATACCGTTTGGTAAAGCAAGGCTATATGAAATTCAATGGAAGACATTAGCTCTACAATGCCTAGGCAGTTTTAAGAGGATACAAATCTGGTAGTTTAATCTTACCACAATCATATGAGTAGACCTTACATTTGCATTGAACTTCACATAAGGCCTACTTATATGATTTTAGGAAAATTGATTTATCAGTTCTTGATCAGCTCAAACGAAATAGGGTGAATACATCTCATAGATGTAGTTTATTAATAGTCTTTAAGGTGTACATGAAACGAAAATTGGCAAATATATATTTAATTAACTGACAGATAATCATAAACATGTGATTTTCTCTAGTGGAATAGTAGCAACGCAGCGTAATTCACGAGTCGGTTCTGAATCCCGTTATGAGTGTTGAGGTTAAAACTTCAGTCCACACTAGCCAAGAGAAATTCATTAGAAATGACCATAAATCACCCTAAACGGCCTAAATTCTCATCGAAGATCAACATAAAAGCGCATCAACTGAGTCTCTAAATCTGGCACCGATAGACTTGTCAGTGAAGAAGAGAACTGTTGAGGTAGCTCATTTTGAATTGGTGTCTTATTGGAGTGAAGAAAATCAGTCGAACTTGTGTTGCCTCTAAACAAAGCTACTACTTACCAACTAAATCAGTAGTGTGTCGAATTTGGGTGTTGAGGCTATCATTATTGATGGGTCAACATGTTGTTATGCCATGATGAAAAGTGTAAACAAGAGGGCTGAAACTCACCTTGGCAAGGCAGACATGCGCATGTGTGCTATGGACTGTGCTGGTTGGTGTCGGCTAAAACAACTCGGCTGGTAGTCCCCCTGGTTCGGCGCACAGACGAGGCGATGGAGGACGGCAAGTGAAGAGGTCTACTGACCTTCCGCAGGCTCCCAGTTACACGGTCACAGCATAAGTGGATTGGCAGTTTGTTAATCCATCCGTCACGTAGAACAGATTGGCCATGCGCCGCGCTGATTGGTCGGTGCAGCGGTGATGTCAAGGGATGCGCTGTGGAGGGAGGAGGCTGTCCTCCACTGGCGGCCACGTCAAATGCTTTGCTGCACGTGAAATTTGAGCCGATGTCTACGTGGCAACAAATCTCTGGCACCGGTTGATTGTGTCCGGATTACCAGTCAACAAACCGATGCACGTATCACGCCCGATTTGTTAGTTTCTGCCACATACAGACCGACCGGTACCAGCAACAACTCGGACACACCACCTCCGTGCGCCGTTTTGCCAGTCTCAAATACCGGCAAGAGGGCCGTACGACTGGCATTAATCTCGACGCTCTACTTATTCCCGTGGTGAGTAGTGGCCAGCTTGTGCCTAGTTGGACGTTGTGCACGTCTTGCCGACTGCACGAACGCTCCACCCGGACAGAGCATTGCTCAGGTCTTACTCGACGACTAGCTGCTTTTAACTTGGGCTACTGGGACTGGTACAGCTTTTGATCCCTCTTGGATTGGGATATCCGAAAATTGTCTTCGTATTATTGTTTCAAAGAACAACCTTATGATTAGAATTAAATTTGTCATACTACTGACTCATGTGGTCAGTAGTAGATTTAATTTCGAGGAAAAAAAAGCAGGTTGTCTGTTGTCGAGCTATCCTTCCGATGCATCTGTTGGAAAATAATGCGCGGAATCTTGTGCTAATCAACGATCAAGTGAGTTCCACTAGAATCGGCATACTGCTGAGTCGTGTGGTTAGTAGTAGATCCCACTTACAGACGAACGAGAGTATGAGTGTTCTAGAGCTATCCATTCAATGCCATTGGTTATCAAGATGCCCCACCTCCACATGGTACAACTAAGATTTGGAGAGTTTTCAACCTGACCTTTGTATACACTTCCGAGATGGTCAATCTTTAAAGGCTTGACGGTGGCATCGTTTCATCCGTAATCCTGGCGGGAGATTTGTATTCACACAGAAATAGATTAGCGGCTAAGCCATAAAATTAATAATAGATTGGGCTATCCAACATTATATAATTGCCATTGAACGTGGTCTACTACTGATTTGCATAGTTAATAGTTGATCTCGTTTTGGGGCTGTCAAGAGGCTGATAGTATCATTGTTTTTAGCTTATAACTTAGGGTTTCGAGACTACCAGTAAATCAGCTCTATGAGTCATGTTCACCCTATTTCGTTTAGGCTGATGTAGGTTTGGTAGTTGAATTTTCCCATAAGGATGTGCATAAAGC